CTCTTTTATGACGGTGGGTCGTTAAAAGGCGGCCGGAGAACGGCGACCAGAGCTGCATAGGGCTGCGCGGCAGCTGCTAGGCCCGAACAGCACTACAGGGGCACGGGCAGAGGCACGGGCAGAGGCACGCGAGAGCCCCACTGCCTAAATACATTGGACTACTGCTTGCGCGTTTCTGCTGCTTTAACTGGTGAACTTTGAACTTTACGCTCTGGCAGCGCTACGGCGTTTCTGATTTTGACGCTGACAACTGACAACTTTACGCTTCAACTAACAAACGAACTTTTGCACTTTACTTGAGTACAAGCTGCTGATTACTACGTATCATCTGCTAAAAATAATATTAAAGCGGGGGACCGAGCGAGAGAGACGAGAACGAAGGAAAGGATGGTGGGGGAGAAGAAAAAGTTATGTCCTCTGCCGACTAACTGACTTTTGGGGCATTAAATGAACTCCCTTCCCTGCCGCCGCTGCCAAGCCGTGCGGGCCGGCGATGAGGGGACAAGAGGACAGGCCGCTTCCCGGGGACGATGGCTCCCTGAGCTACAAGGCCTCCGCTCCGATATCCCATCTATCTCGCCTCATTCAATTCAAACCCTACCGAGGGCAGTCCTCTGTCAGTCGGGGTGCGCCCCGTCCCCACCCCCTCGAGTGCCTAACCTCACCTACCCCCCGGCGCCCGGCGCCGTCGTCACCCGCCCGGGGCTGACGCTGACCGGACTAGGCGTGAGAAGCGTCTGCTGCTGTTCGCCTCGGCCGGAATGAAGACGGGGTGGATGAGGGGGGCGGGGGGTGGACGACGGGCCCGAGCGGCCCGCAATGCGGCGGAAATTTCAACAATTAAAGCAGCGGCAGCGGTGGCAGCACGGCGCGGCGGGGCGGCCGCAAGGAGATGGAGCCTGGCCGGAGGCAGCCCGCCAGCCAGCCGCGACCAGAGCGACGCGCCCGCCGCAATCAAAACCAAACCCACGGCCAGAACAAACAAAAACCGAATACTGAATATAATTCAACTCGCTTTGCTTGCAGCCGTGGCCGCCTCGACAAAATAATGGGGATCTCTCTCTGGCCGTCGCCGTCCTGGGGAGCGGGGCGCGGGGCGGGGGAGCGGGGCGCTCAGGGACAGCGACGGCCCGGTAATTTCTGTCCCTCCCCGACCACACCGCTTCGTGTCCCTCTACCGCGCAATGACGATTTTCTCATACCCCGGCCCGGCCCCGGCCCGGCCCCGGCCCGGCCCCGGCCCCGGCAGGC